AAGAATATACACAGTGGCCTTAATTTTTCAGTCTTGCACTAAAGTAGTTCAGAAGATCCACAGCAGCAGCAGTTCACAAAAAACTTCAAAGCACTCTGGGTTGAAGAGACGGCTCAGTGGGCAAAGTGCCTGCTGTGCAAGTGTGAGGACTGCCATTTGGCTCCCCAGTACCCACCACATTAACACTAGGTGGGCCTAGAGGCTGCCTGGAATACCAGCACACAGAGATCGAGACCAGATCCTCAGAGTAAGCTAGCTGGCTAGAGTAGGCAAACTGGCAAGATCTATGTTAACTGAGAGACCTGCCTCAATACATGATGATTATTCTCCTCAACAATCTAGAAAGACATCAGTGTTAGCCTGGGCCTTAACACACATGTGCATCCCCCACAAGTATGCTCAAACACATTTAAAAAATACACAAATGTACACACACATTTAACAATTTTTAAGCACTAAAACAAACTAAAATACCCCTTCTATACCAAGCCAAACTGCATAATTCCACTCTTGCAGTCTTACATAACATCTCATATTTAAATAGAACTATGACAGGAGGAAAAAGTCAACACAAAAGAGCAATGAAACAAAGTAATCTCAAAGCACACCCTGAGGCCCAGCTGAACCCTGCATCCTTCTAGGCAGGAGGTGAGCCCTCCTCACGGGCCACCAAACGGAACCAAAGGAGTGCTGTTCTCAGCTTTCTGCGGCTCCTGGTAAGCTAACGATGCCTTTCCCTCCACCTAGGAAAAGGATTTAGTTCACACCCATCTGCGTGACCAGCTGAACACACAGTCGGCTCTTAGGTGGTAAAATGGCGTCCCATGTCACTCATCAACCTTTCCTTTAACCACGGGATATTTTAGAACTATATATTCAGAAGCATGGCTAATCATGTAAGAATTAACAACACAAGAAGAGATAAAAACTGTTCCAACTAAAAGAAATCAACTTATGATAAACTAAACTCAAGCCAAAGTTAGCTTTCCAGGAAAGCATGAATAGCTTTTAGTTTCTAAGACAGCAAATAAAAAATAACTTATGTTTTACACCAGTGGTCCCCAACCTTCCTCATGCTGCAACCCTTTAATACAGTTCCTCATGCTGTGGTGACCCCAAACCATAAAATTAGTTTGTCAATACTTCCTAAGAGTGATTTTGCGACTGTTAAGAATTGTAATGTAAATAGTTGATATGCAGGAGATCTGACATACAACCCCTATTGGGGTCATGACCCACAGGTCGAGAATCCCTGTTTTACACACTCTTCCTCCCCACCCCTGGTACTAGGGATTAAACCCAGGATATTGTGCATGTTAGGTAAGCACTCTATTATTAATCACATCCCCAGCCCTGCCCACCTGACCCCAAAATAAAACAAACCACATATTAATTGCCAGAGTTAAGTAAAATTATTTCCTAAACACAGTATTTTTGATACATGATGGCTTCCAATGGTGAAAGTTTAAATACACACACACACACACACACACACACACACACACACACACACACAGAGCTAATTATTTATTACATTTATTTATTTGTTTTTTTGTGTGTATATGTGTGTGGAGCGTGCGCACATGCATTGTTCACTGACCAACTTGTAAGAGTCTGCTCTCCCTTTCCTCAATGGTCCCTGGACCGTTCGGCTTGGCAGCAAGTACCCACCAAGCCATTTGGGTGAGCCCACCAATAGGTTTTGTAACATCACTTCACAATAATGAATCCCATCTGCACATTTCTTTCTGGAAGCATGAATTTTAACGTTTAAGTATTTTAGTTAGCATTAAAACCAAAAGGAAAAAAGAAAAAGGAAGTCAGCTCATCTATAGAGAAAAGGGGAAGTCACACTGAGCAAGAGGCATCTGGATACACTGTGGCTTTGTCACTCTCAGACATGGACCCTAAAGTCAGTGCAGTGGTCAACGAGCGAGACATTCACAAAGAAGGCTATCGTGCCGTTTTTCCTTGTTGGAGACAGGATCTTACTCTGTAGCCTAAGCTAGCTTTGAACTCACAATCTTCCTGCCTCTACCTCTTGAGTGCTGAAAGAATATAGGAGTGCATCACCATGCTCTGTTTATAAATTAAGACCCCCTTTATAATCATCCTTATCTTTACACCATACTATATATGACATATAGTATCAAAATAAGAATGTGGGCTTTCTTAACAAAGCCAGAAAAAAACAGTATACTGGAAACAAGCATCAACATGTACGGAGCAATATGAAAGAAAACTAGCTACGATTAGTGCTGCTATCAATCATTTTAATTTAATCAACTAGCTAATTAGTACTGGGGGTTTTGCAAATGCCAGCTATGAGCTAGCTCTACCATACATGCTCAGTTCATGATTATTCATCAGAAATAAACAAGGTGTTATCTATATGCTGGAAAAATAAAGAGATTAATACGAAGACTTATCAGATTTTTTTCTTTATCATTTGAGATAATTACTGTAAAAGAGGAAAATTCAATTGGTTCATGAATGGTTAATGACTATGTACTCCTCAAAATGCCAAGCCATCTTGGAATTCTATTTCAAACACGTCATGGGCCTATTTACTCCTCTGAAAAAAAGGATTTTTACGTTAGAAATTAGTAGATGCCCTCCGATTCCCTTTAAAAAGTTAACTCAGCTTCTGGCTGTTAGAGGCAGACTGGAAGAGACAGGACTGCAGCATGAGTCCAGAAAGACCAACAGTTGAGAAACGCAGCCTTCAGTTCTAGAACCCTGACTGTCACAGAGTGAAACTTTCTGAGGTGACAGAGTTAAGCACTTAATTTACCACCAGAAGTCTAAAAACAGAATTGCAAAAGAAATGGGACATTTTAAACAAATGTATCACAGTGTGTTATTAAAGAAACGTTACAGCTGGTACATGAACCTGTAGAAAGGTGGTTCTCGTGTTCCTGCATGCTTTAGAACATCTGGAAAGGAGGCTGGAGATCACCGCTGCTAGGTGAAGTAGCCCTCCAAGGACACTGCTCCACACGCAGCTCTCATGGCCAAGCTGGCTGTAGGTGGTGATGAGGAAGAGGAGGCCTGGTGGCCTGGAGGCAAAACTGACCCTAGAATGACCCTAAACCATCACAGGTCTCAAGAGTACCAGATGGCTCACAACTGTGATCCCAGCAGGGCAGGACATCTGTGAGCTCAAGGTGAACCTGGGTGCAGAGTAAAACCCAGTCTCAAGAGGGAAGGGGAGGGGGGAGGAGAGGAAGAGGGAGAGAGGAGAGAAAAGAGAGAGAGATAAAGAAAGCTATTGGGCTCCAGTCCCTCGATAGCCTTTCCCCAGAGTCCCAGAAGAGATGCTACTGATGGTGAATTAATCTGAGGGATTCTCTAATAAATCTACATACACGAAATTCTTTAGTCCATACACTTTATTCTTCTGAGTTGGTTGGTTCTCTCTCTACACAGCTTCTTTTCTGCTTTCTTATTTAGCTCCTTTCTTGCCTGATTTCTCTCTACATTTTTCTGCTGTTCCCTCTATGTGCTCTCTTAATTCCCTTCCTCTTAGTTCTGTCCCATCTTGGTCTTTCTCATCTGTCTAGTTCTTTCCTGTCTGGCTCCTGTCCCATCTCCTTCTTCCCCATCTGGCTCTTCCTCACCTCCCATCTCGTTCCTCTAGTCCTCTCTTCCAGCCCTCCAATCTAGTTCTCCTCCATTTCAGTTCCTTCCCCTCCAGTTCTTACCCATCTAATTCTTCCATTCTCTTTTTTCTTCTCTGTCCTTGCTCTGAAAATAAAACTGCCTTTCATCCCTTCGGCCGATATCTCTCCAAGCTATCTCTGCTCCCGCCGTTTCTGGCAGGGCAGAGGAAGTGTGCTTGGTCACTAGGCAACTTCCATCACAGCTAGATGTACCTGTGAGTAGGAACCCTTTAGTTCTGAGTTAATTGTTAAGGGTGGATCTAAAACTAGAGATAAGACTTTGGAAAGGAGAAAGTTAAGCTTAATTAGCACATCCACCAGGCCTTCCCAAACAGATAGTCTGGATACTTAAGTCTGTTCTTAGAGAATCTGTGAGGTATCTCAGATAAGATACTTTCGTCCATCCAGAGATGGTCCTGGCCAGATGCTGCTAATGACGATAATCACAGAAAGGCCTGAAGTTAGGGATTCTGGCTGTGTTACTGTATAGAAGGTTATCTAAATATTCCATTAATAGAGGGGAAACTGTGCCCAATGAATGATGGAAAAGCTACAACAGCACGTGAGAAATTCATAGCAGGAAACAGCTAATAATCAAAAGCCAATATCACCAAGACTCCTTGAGCCTCAGGTTGATCTCTTGAAGGCCCTTGGCTTCTTCCAGGCATTAGCTTGTCATAATCAGCTGAAATTCTACTTCATATTATTGCAGTTTGTAGCAGAGAGAGAGGAGAGAGGGGAGGGGGAAGAGGGACAGAAATAAGAACCAGCTGCCTCAGGAGCTCTGAAAGCCTCGCTATGGGGTCCTGAGTAAACGATGAAATGAGGAGGAGACAAGTCTTCATTCTGGTCCACAGAATTTTGGCTGTAAGCACATGAGCTAAGGGAAGGGAAGGACCGCATTCTATATGAAATGACTTAACTTGGAGTTTAAAGAGAGACATGAGAAGGCTTCAAAACACCTCAAGGTGGCCCAAAGTCATATTCCTTCAGAAAACAAGGGTCTGGGTGACTTATTGACAGGGTCTGCAGGGGGAGCGTAAATATTTGTCTCCCCCTTTGATACTGTGCACATTTCTATAAACCTATCCTGTAATTTTCTTACTTTTTTCAAAAGAGATTAAAATATTTTTTATATACACTAGTTACAAATTTATTTTCACAAATTTAGAGGCTTATATCCAAGTCATGAAGCATCAATCTCAACCTCATGCTTTAAATTTCTTTTAAAATGTTTCCTACAGTGCAATGAATTTTTGTGGACATGGGAGAGAGAAGGAAACCTCCAGATTAGGAAACCCAAACCAGGGAAAAGAGGTTAAAAAAAATGACACTTACAAGTCCACTTATGGCTACAATCCAGATGTAGGAACCAGAGGTGAAAAGCTACAAAAGAAAACAAAAGGCAACTAAACATGAAATCCAGCTACCAGCCACATCACACTTAATTTCACACACTACAGTGGTGACTACAGGAATTACATATTAATCATTCATGGCATAATTTAGGGAAGCAATTTGAAAGTGAAAGAATAGCAATTCTGTTTATTTAAAAGAAAATAAGATGTTAATCTTTCCACAAAGACTCCAGGTTTTCTGTAGCTGATAACACATGTGTTGAATCTGGCCCCTGACATGCAAAGAAAAGTAACTGAATTTCAAGCACATTCTCACTTACAAGCAGGCCTTAGAACTGACTTACAGTAAACAACTACAAATAAATAATTAGCATTAACAATGTAGAAGTAATAGTTATTGTCCATACGCAGTGATAGGTAATGATCTATAATAGCTGTTCATACAACTTTCCCATTTTAATTTCTCATCATTGCTTTGTGTACATTTAGATGGAGAACTTGCCAGCATCTAAGTCCACACCCAACAGCACCCTTTTTCAGGGATGAAAACTCTCGCTCTAGTTCACCCAAGGTAAGAGTAAGTTAGTAGCTCCAGGTCCTCTGCATGTATTATAGCTTTAGTTTGGTACTTTCATGGGACTATTATAGCTTTAGTTTGGTACTTTCATGGGACTCCTTAATGTGTGAACGAGTGGGTCTCTGATTCTTATGACTTCTCTCGGGGCTCTTTTCCTTCTGTTGCTTTGCCTTGCTCAACTTCCTTGTGATGGTTTTTTGTTTTATCTTGTTATATTTTATTTTGTTAAAAAGTAAAATAAAGTTGTTAAAATTGGAAAAAAAAAAGAGTATGCTAGTAGAAACAAAGTTTTAACTGATGCAAAGGTATGAAGGGTATTAGAATTAGGCCTCATGAAATTTCTTCTTTTGTTTTCCAAATGTTATCTTAGAGATGTGCTCAGGGTTCTAAAACAAAACAACAACAAAAATCACAAGGCATCTCCAAGTGTCCTATTAGAACGAGAGGCTCTGCGTGCGGCTTCTTGTTTAGTTTTGGAAGGTTCGGGTGGACGCTGCAGGACCATGGAGAAAGGAGCAGGACACTGAAACAGCACAGCTAGGATTCACTGCTCACACTGCACTAGATGGGAACTTCAGGGTTCTGCAAACGTAACACAGAACACACAAAACAGACAGACATGGAGGGAAAGGAGTCTGCAGGCTTTGCTCCAGTGCCAGCCCACAGGGAAGGAACAGTGGCTGCCACTGCTCACTTGACCTGCCATCGGGCGTGAAGCTAGGTCGCTGTATACCCAGCTCTCATAACCAAGATGAGGACTATGTGGACAGCAGTTCCTCTTGTGAGAGGAGGGATCCAAAAGTAGCCATCATTTTCTAGAGCCAGGTACTGCTCTCCAGGCATTTCATAGACTTACTCAGATTTCTCATCAGCCAACGAGGAAAGTACACTGAGTACTTTCCCTGGGTCAGGCAGCTACAGGAGGTGTGACTGGCGTGTTCTGCCCATGGCTCTGTGCTCGCCATCCATCTGCCTCTCATATACAAGTAAAGTAGCCTGTCATTCTGTCAGTAAAAGAATAGTTTCTTTGGTCTCTGACATCCCTTGCCTTAGTACCAAGTTTCTGCTTGCATTTTGAAAGGGTGTGAATGTGCCTCTGGGCTGGATTCCTCTGGCTTACATCTGTGTCCCCAAACAGGCACTCTGGCTCTTATGACGATTAAAGTTATTTGCCTGCCCATCCACCCGTCTTATATTCCTGGCTTCAAGTATCCGTGGTGGGGAGAGAGAAAGCCAGAGAAATATGCATGAAATGAGCTGGAGTTGCAAGGAGATGGCTCAGTGCATAACTGCCTGCCACACCACTATAAAGACCTGAGTTCAGATCCAGAACACATAGAAGGTCAGCACTGTCATGGATGAATGTAACCATCACTGGGAGAGGGGAGGAGCAGAACTGATGAACTTCCAGTTCAGTGAAAGACCCCGTCTCAAAAAACAAAGCAATCAAGAAACACATAGAAGCCGGGGCAGTGGTGGCACATGCCTTTAATCCCAGCACTCAGGAGGCAGAGCCAGGTGGATCTCTGTGAGTTCCAGGCCAGCCTGGGCTACAGAGTGAGATCCAGGACAGGCACCCTGTCTCGAAAAACAAAAAACAAAAAAAAAAAAAGAAAGAAAGAAAAAGAAAACACATCGAGTCTACCTTTGGTTTCCATACACATGTGCACACACCTACGGTAACAAGTGGAACACACAAACACACACATGGAATATGAAGAAAACCTAGCGTGTATGGAGGAAAGGAAAGGATAAAAACTTCAAACATTCTGACCAAGCGGCGGGCAAGTATGGAAGTGGTGCTGGATGGACAAGGGCCCAGGCGTCACTCTCGAGAAGGACTAGACTGTGTAGACTGTGTCAGGAGGCGCAGGAGGCACCTCCACTTAACGACACCACCTCCTACCTAACAAAGCCAGTGCAAGTCTTATGAGAACAGGAGAAATTTACACTGATTTGAAAGCCTATCTGAGGCAGTGGGACTGACATTTCTGCCTCTGGGCAGGGCTATGAGGCTATACCAAGCCGAAAATCCCCGTGGTCCTAACGACTTCCGCCCACCCCATAACTGATAAAGGAACCCCTTGCCGTCCTTGATGCCGTCACCAAACATCAGAGCTGGGGGAACTAGAAGGTCACCACGAGACTCAAAGGGTTTTGGAACTTGACACACATTTCACTGCCAGAGAAAGCCATAGCAGGACAGAGTGAGGAGGGACCCATGTGTCATGGTCTGAAAGAGGAGTAAGCACACCATGGTGAGGAAGCACCTACCACTGGTAACAGACAGTGACTGGAGAACTGGAGGAGATAGATGTTAGGTGACAAGGGGAGGGGGAGGAGGAGGGGGAGGAGGAGGAGGAGGAGGAGGAGGGGGAGGAGAAGGAGGCACTTCGTGTGAAGCTGGCATCTGGCCTGGTATGTGGGGGAGAAGGAACATTAAGAGTGTTAATTGGGGGAATCAAAGGCCAAGCTACAGAGGGTGCCACAGGAAGCCACAGACTACTCAAAAGCTGTGAGAGGAAAAGAAAAGAAAGTGCCAGAGAGAGTGCAGATGGAGCTGGAGAGCGCAGTTCTCCAGCACAGGCCTGAGGCTGCGAGACCTCGGGTACACACTGGGTGCGAGGGGAGATGACCTTGACACTTAAGTTCTCACGTCAGACAAAGGCTCTGGTGGCTTCATAGCAAGGCAGTTGTAAAGCATGACCCTGCCACCATGTCTGCTCAGATACAGACGAACCAAAGTGGGCAATGCCACGTCTACCTTTTCTCCTTTGCAGAAGGGGAGCATGTTGGACATTGAACCTGGGGTCATGGACATGCTAGGCAAGAATTTCACCACTGAGAGGTATCTCTAGGTCTCTTTCCCTTTAAAAATGATTTGTATTCTTTTTAACTACATGTATATGTGTGTATCTATGTGTGAGTGCAGGGACCTGCAGAGGCCAGATGAGGATCAGATCTCCTGGAGCTGGAGTTACAAGCAGTTATGAGCTGCCTGAAGTGGGGTATGAGGGGGTGCTAGGAACTGACCTTGGGTCCTCTGCAAGAGCAGTACACACCCTTAACTGCACCATCTCTCCAGTCCCTCCTTTTTTCTTGAATCTTGAGATGGAGTCTTACTCAGTTGTCCAGGGTGCCTCTGAACTTATTCTGTAGCCCATTCTCACCTTGAACCTAAAATCCTCCTGCTTCAGCCTCTGAGTATTACAGACTCAGCTTGAAAATGCTTCTTGCCAACTCCACAGCTTAGATGGGCAAAGCATGCTGGGTTTCTTCATAGCCTTATATGTGACTCTGATGTTGATTTTCCATTTTCCACTCTTCTCATTTTTTCCACTTCACACTATGATTCTTAAATGTAGTTACATACAACTGCATGATTAAATAAAAAATATTTTCCACTGATACAAATTACAGTGAAAGCTTTAACGCTTTTATCAGATTTCTAAAGGCTATGAAAGTGTTCTAGTATCTTTTACACCTTGATGTTCTCACTCTGTAACACTTCCTCTGAGCACCTGATACAGATCATGAAGCCAGATTTATGGAAACATTATTTAAGGAGAAAAGACAAAAGAAGAAAAAGCAAAATAAAACAAAAAACAAAACCCACTCAGATCTGGTTAGAGAAATGTGGACATGAAATGTATACTGTACCTGCAGTCCCAATATATAAATCAGTGTCTTGTTTGTGATGGACAACGGGCCCAGGATTTGTGCCACTTGGACTCTTGGGATGGAGCGGTAAAACGGTACAAAGAGAGCAAACACGGGTGCCAGGCTATGGAAACAAACAAAGAAAGCCACTGTGAGAACGGACTCCAAACACTGGCCGAGACATCTGAAGCAGTGCCACTCACACTCGCTTTGGTGTGAGATACGCACATCGGTTTCCAAACACCCATCGTAGGCAGACGATGGTCCAGTGTGTGTAACACCTTAAGACCAACTATAAGGCACTGTGAGTACACAAAGTAGATGCTATGTTCCATTCCCATGAATGGCCTGAAATCTGACAAGAGACTATAGACAGCATTGGAATCTTTCATGGTCAAACACAAAGTCACAGCAGAATTTGGCCGGTCATCCAGCACGGGACCAGACACCTCTTACCACTCCTGCTCTCTATTCCTCAAATTTCTTCCTCTTTTTTTCTTAAACTCTTTTCCTTAAGGGGTTCTCAACGACTCCTCATACCACCCTGCCCCTTCCGGGGCTCCCCTGTTTCTGTTCTTGCTTTAGTATCTCCCTGAACAGTGCTCTCTGTGGCTCCAACCAGGGAAATGAGGTTGGTCCTAACTGTGGCAGTACCAGGCTCTGGAACCAACTTGATGCCTTCCCTGTGGTATTTGAATCAGTCACATGTGCCCTACCCTTGCTTCTCTCTAATCACATGGCCACACCCCTGGGAGAAGTTTCACTGTAAGACAACAGCTCTTCCTGCTAGGTCCTAGGTCTGTGCAGAAGACAGGGGTCTCATCAGTCACTGGGCCGCCTGAGTCCCCCTCTCCAGTGCATCCCAGTGCCCCAACCTGAAGTGTAAATAGCACTGCACTTTCCACAGCTGGCCCCACCCAAGTGCACTCTTGCCGGCTCCCCTCCTCTCTGTAACTCACTCTGTAACTCACCCAGTGGCTGGCCAGATGCAGACTCCTCTGGCTGGTACGGGTAGTCCTTCCTAGAGCTTCCTTTTCACTCCCTGCTTAGCAAACTCTTCTCACATGGCTCTGCTTGGGTTTCTCTGACCCCTCCTGGTAGGCAGCAGCTCTCCCCTTTGCCCAGAGTCATGCCGGTCTGGCTGTTTTAGTGAGCTGACTTTCATCAGCTGGGCACTGAGTAGCAGGTGAAAGAGGATGCCCAGCACAGGGTCCATCTGCACCATGAGCAAGCAGCAGCCCTCACCTCAGGACCTCCTCCTACCACTGCAAATTCACGCTCCTCACAGGGCATGTACGCACACATGCATGAGCTGTGTGTGTGTGTGTCTGTCTGCCTGCCTGCCTGCCTGCCTGTCTCTCTCCTTCTCTCTTTGTGTACATGCATGTATAAGAGCGGAATGGTTGGGGCATACCCTTGTAACCATTTTCATTAAACACTTGACTGGCCAATATTTTCCAATTTTGGAAACAACATCAGCACAAAAGTAATTTCATGATCATGAGGAAAATACAAGAACTACTTCTCACTTGTATAAAGAAACATTTTCACAGTACCCCATGCCACCCCGTTACACAGTACCCTTCTTAGTGTTTTATACATTTTCTGATTCTGATAGCAACTATGTTATAAAAATCTTCCTTCTCAATTATACTATTGAAAACAAAACCAATACAGACACAAGCATGAAATGGGGGGAGAGAGAGAACATAAACATAAAGTAGCTTTAATAGGTACGAACAAGAATAACACACCACACACATTAAAAAAACACAAATGCAAAAATCATCAGTAAAATACTAGCAAAATGAATACCAGCACATATCAAGATCGTCTACCACAATCAAGCTGGCTTTGTCTGGGAAAAGCAGAATTGGTTCAACATATGTAAGTCAATAAATATAATAAATGATAAATGGACTTAAAGACAAAAATCAAATGACCATCTCAATAGATACAGAAAAGGCTTTTGATAAAACCTAACATGCTTTCATGATAAAAGTCCCAGAGAGAGAGAGTAGGACTGGAGGGAACATACCTCAAAATACTAAAGGCTGAATATGACAGACCCACAGGCAACATCATCCGAAATTGAGAACTTGAAGCAATCCCATTAAAGTCAAGAACTAGGCAGGGCTGTCCACTATCCCTACTCCTTTTCAATATAATGCTAGAAGTACTAGCTGGAGGGAGAAGGCAAGAGAAACAATTAAAGGGATACAAATAGGTCAAATTATCTCTATTTGATACATGAGATCCCAAAAATCCCACCAGAGACCTTCCAGAAATAATTTCATCAAAGTGGCAGGTTACAAAAACAACTTACAAATTGTTTATCCACAACATTCTTTGCAGAAATAGAAAAAGAATTCTAAAATTCAAATGGAACCAGAAGACCCTAGAGAGCCAAAGCAATCCTCAACAAAAAGAATGCTGGAGGGATTGCTATTCCAGACTTCAAGATATACAATACAGCTATCATAATAAAAACAGTACGGTACTGGCACAAAAAGAGACGTGTAAACCAGTGGAATAAAACAGAAGTGTGTCCTCGTAAGTATAGTCAGTCATCTGATATTTGATGGAGACAAGAAGCATACACTGGAGAAACACAGCACCTTCAACACCCCGTACAGGGAAATCTGGATGCCTGTTCACATGCAGAAGGATGGAATTAGACCCAATTCTACCACCCTGCACAAAAGTTAGACCCAAGTGAATGAAAGATCTCAATTTGAAACCTGGGACTCTAAAATTGCTAGAAGAAAACATCTGCAGTATCCTACAGGATACAGGATAAGGAAAGGACTTTCCGAACAGGACTCTACTTGGCAAGGAATAAGCCAACAACGGACAACCAGGGCTTCATAAAATCAAAGAGCTTCTACACAGCTACAAGTGAAGTAGTGGAATGTAGAAGAGAAGGCTCCCCTCTATAAGTGAAGAAGAAACCCATAAAATGGGAGAGAATATTTGCCAGCCCTACATTTGACAGAAGATTAATACAACCCAATTGAAAATGGGCTATGGATCTGAACAGAGAGCTCTCAGTAGAAGAAATAAAAACTGGTAAGAAATACCTCAAAGTGTGTTCATCACCCTTACAATTAGGGAAATGCAAATTAAACAACTTTTGAGGTTTCATCTCACCCCAGTCAGAATGGCCAAGATGTTAGTGAGAAGGAGGAACCTCACTGTTGGTAGGAGTGTAAATTGGTACAGTGGCTCTGGAAATCGGTATGGAGAATCACCAAAAACTACAAATGAATCTACCGTATGGCCTAGCTATTCCACTCCTCGGCATGCGCCGAAGGACCGACATTGTACTCCATACACACTTAGTCACCTGTTGCTATGTTCATTGCTTTCCATTCAGAATAGCCAGGAAATGGAAACAACCTAAACGTCCTTCAATAGATGAGCGAATAATGAAAACGTGGTACATAGACACAGAGGAATACTAGTCAGCTGTAAAGAAAAATGAAATCATGAAAATTTGCAGGTAAATCGATGAACCTAGAAAAGATCATATTAAATGAGGTAACCCAGACTCAGAAAGACAAACACTACACGATCTCTCACATCTGTGGTCCTTAATTCCAAGTCTTCAGATGTGAGCGCATAAACTGGATTAAAAAGTATAAAGGGGCCATGACAGAAGTTGGGGTGGCAGAGAGGGGACAGCAGGACACACAGATGATGTGGAGTAGTATAGGGAGTGACAATGGTGACAATGGGGGAGGGGCTCCACCTGGAGGGGGGAGGGATGTAGGCGGTAGGAGGGACAATAACATCAAGGATGTCTGATAAAGCCTCAAGGAATTATAATATTTGATACTTACCTAAAATTATGCACACAATATACACATCTAAGTACATGTATAGATATACATGCGTGCCACACGCGCGTACACACGAACATACACACACACACACACACACACACACCACACACACACATACACATCTTAAGGGAAGTTAAGCCACTTGGGCTGACAATGCTCTCCACAAGAACCACAGACTAACAAAAACCCAGTATCAGACATGAAGGACTGGTCAGGATAGTCTGAATGACTCCCAAAACAAGAGATTATCAATGTAGCCCCTGGTTGCCTCTCAGAGGTTGAGGGTGGCCCCTACTGCTGGAGACACTCAGATGACTTGAGCTGGATGAGACCTGAAAGCATCTTTCCTGTGGTCTAGCCTCCATGGTTCCAGAAAACACTATGCAAGTTGCCAGGGTTGGGAGGGGGCGACTGCACAGTCCTACCCAGCTTCAGTGTCTATGAAGCACAACAACTACTATCACCGCAAAACACGCATGAAGGAGCAGAAGGGGCAACCACCAGCTGTCCGATGAACCTAAGGTCCACTCAACAGGAGGGGAACCATTCTGGGTTCTGGAATCCTAGTCAGCTTCCCTGGGCTAGTGAGGTCATGGACCTTAGGAAAGAATCTACTATCAACACTTTGCTAGACCAGCATAATTCCTTACTACATTCTAAATCTTATCCTTACACCACAGGTAAGTGCAGCTAAAGCCCCTCATCAAAGAAGCCTGTCTTTACAGCAAACAGAGACCATCACAAAAAACCACAAGAGAATACAACACAGGGATCAACAGATCTTGGGAAGCCAGGCCCAGAGGATGGACCATTGTATGGATCAAGGCTTTATCAGACACCTTGATGTCATTGTCCCTCCTACCGTCCTGACATTCCTCCCTCTCTCCAGCCGGAGCCCCTCCCCCATTGTTCCTCCCTATGTCCTAGGATCTATATCACAGCTCCTGCAGCTACGGCTCAGGGAACACCCTGAAGAGGGGGCAGATAACTGCCAGAAGACCAGGAAATCTGCTGTCAAAGTCTCTCCTGAAAATGGCCGCCTACACCAGACCAGACTGCAATATCAACAGATACGTTAATGTAGGTGGGAGAAAGTCACAAAGTCCCGCCCCTGGACAAAGAACTACAGGCAACTGTTGACTGCCCGAGAAGAACAGCCTCTCCCAGGGGTGAGCCCTCTTATTGGCTGGCCAATGCAGAGTGGTCAGCCTTGAAATCATATATACACAAACAACAAATGAGGACTCAGGAAGTTGTATTATATACATTTGGGCATACA